CGAAATCTCATAAGCAAGAACGCTGTAATTTTTGCAGAAAGAGGCGCGCTTTTTTGTTCGCCTGCCATTTCCAGAATCCTGCACTGATGATCTAATAAGTGTTCTCGTTCTAAAGAAGGTTGGTGGAATAAATAGCAAATAGACATCAATTTGTACATTGCACAGGACCATAATGATAGCGCTTACTCCGACAAACTTCGAACTTGTCATCGAGTTGACTCATTTGCGGGGTTCAGCTTTGTACCGGGGTAGCAATAAACATGTCCTGACAGATGACGCCGTGTTCTGAAGACGGTGAGTGAAGAGGAGTCTGCTACTGCTTATGAAGGGACATCTGGCGAATATATTGCCATTCGTTCTCCGTCAATGACGGCAATTTGTGCGCCGAAAAGTTTGTTGGTGTGTTTATGCGAAAATGAAAATTCAGAATAGTTTTTTTGCACTCCCTCTATACATCAAACCGTTCCAGTTACCCGAACATCACCTTCATCTGGAAGTACGAAGAACCAGACGACGCAATCTTCAATGGAATAGACAATCTTATTCCTTCAAAATGGACGCCACAAAGCTGTTTATTAGGTAAGCACTGAATACGTGCAAGCTCATCAAATGGTCTGGAAGCGGAGCTTACGAATAAAAGGCGGCCTATTATGAATTGGGGTAGAGGTGGTCTGTTGTGCAATGATGATGAAAAAGCCATGAGAAATGGCTCAGAACCGAGAAGTGGGACCTATTCTTCGCCGTTGATTTCCGCGGTGATGCGACTGTTATCGGTGCTGCCCTCTTCAATGATTACGCTCTTTGAGCTCAGCGACTAGAGTCAGACGGTGAAGAGGATGGACGGACAGCGGCGGGCTTCTGTGTAAACGCACCTTAGGGGGGCTCGCTTGCGTTTCGATAGGTGTGTCTCCTGTCTGTCTTCTTCGACTTCCGTGGATTCTCCCTTATTGTTCTTATCCGCAATTGTTTCGTTCATTGTTGTGGAAATGTTTTTGAACTTTATGGAACTTGCAGCTTGCAAGCAACTTCTAATCCTGGTTTTCAGCCGACAGGCGTTTAACACTTTTTATCACACATGGTGGAGCTGGAAGTATGATGGAGAGCGCCCACCACGCAAAACCGCTTATTGTCGTTCCTTTGTTTGGCGATCAGACAAGAAATGCGAAGCTCATTGAGAAGTATGGCTTCGGTGAGTTGACTGATAAAACAAGTTCCGCCAATCATCGCGCCTACCTTCTCCTGCGTATGTTGTTGTTGTGTGTTTAGGAGCTCATTTCCAGGAAGGGGATCTACCACTTTAAGGGGTAGCCGTGTGGTTAATTATTTTGTAAGAAATAGTCACTTGCAACAACTCATTAGGCTGATTTCACAAGACTGGTACATCGAAGATTCAGGGGTGTACAAACTGTTGGAGCAGCAGAATTACCAAAACTTTCAGAATTTATCTAATTTCGTTAGAAGTCTTCGAACTCCTTGAATAACTTTTTGTCTTTCTGCGTTCCCACGTCGTCGAAAAATAGGACTCGCTCCTCAAAATTAGAAAATACGAACTTCCTTGTTTCCCTTTCAGGACACCTTTTCAACCATTTTTCGCATGTTATAGTGCCGCGCGTGCGAAAAACTGACGACCAATTTTCTGACTGGTCTGGAAACGTCGTTAAGGATATGTGCACAACAAACTCATTAAGGTATCCTTCTGGAAAAAGGCCGCCTTACTGACAGCAACGTGTTACGCGAGGCAATCGAACAAATTCTCACCGATTCTAAGTAAGTGATAGTTTTCTAAGTGTTAGCGTGCTTCTACTTTGCTGCTGGCGTTCACCCGTCAGTACTGTCATATTGTCGTGGGAAAACCCAAAAACTCACATTCCAGATACCAAACAGCAGCCAATCGAATCAGCCGGCTGCTGTCACGACGTCCATTTAGTCCTGAGGAGAAACTGGTGAAAACAGTCGAGCTTGCCGCCGAATTTGGAGATCTACCGGAGTTGAAGGTATCGGGAAGAAACCTCGGATATGTCGCCTACTATAACCTTGACCTACTATTTATTTTTGTAGTGATTTTCGCCGCATTACTATGTCCAGTGATATATGTATTGTTGAGGATATTTAGGCACTATTTTGTGACAGTGAAAGTGAAGCTTAATTGAAAGAACGTGTTGTAAACAGATATTCGGATAACAATTCTTTGAGGTTTTTTCTCAAACTCAGCTGCAGTAAATATAAAGTTACGGTGATTACCTGCGCATTCAAAAATTATCTGGGCATTGATCCAATATTTTTATTGCTTTTTACTAATATGGCTTCATTTTTTTAAATTTTCTTTAATTTTTTTATTTTATCAGTTACAATCGCGTATGTGAGGTTGGCAACGACCCCCGGCTAACGCGGAAGGTGCCTCCAGAAGGTAGAAAAGCAGAACTTCACTTGAAAGGATCGTTCAGAATCATTTAGCACAATCATGAGGAATGAATTTTTCAAATCCGTCTCTCAACTCCTCTGGTGTGGTCATGTCCTCATGATGCTGTGTCCAAATCGGCAAGGAATATAATGCGTCCAATGGAACGACCCAGAAAGCAATGACGGTGCAACCTGAAGTACGATATGAACGTTGCCGTCCTGGCTGCAGCCGGTGCATAGAATCGGAGACATAAAACCAACATGGAAAACCATTCCTGACAAAGGTTGGAAATAACGCTAAGAAGGGGAAGAAGGAAAGAGGTCGTCGACAACCTTTGTGCCCGAAGAGCGTATGGTGTGGGAAACCCTGCGATTAAACCTGTATCGCTAGACTAGGTGACCACCGCTACTATGGCATGAAATTACCAGTGTCACACATGGGCAATCATCCGTTGTGCTAATTTCAAGATTTTGCGGGCTCCCTCAGACTCAAATGGTATCTGAGCGACCTCCTTGTTAGCTACATGCTTACATTTTTTCGTCATGCGATGGAAATTTCCTTACAAAGATCTGCAAATCATCCTCACAGGCCCTCCAACTCACCAACCCATCAACACGTGTTCTGGAGTACTCAGTAATAGTTTGCTGTCCACGCGAAGGGAAACTTCTGATTTTCTTCAAAATCAACTTTTTGCAGATCTCTAGGGCTAACTAGAAATTGGAAGAAAATGGTTCCAAAAAATTACTGAAACTCTTTTGAAGACCACTTTCTCAAATGACACAATTCAAACACCCATAAGTTCCTTCAAAATTGCTATAATACGAAAAGCTGCATAAATTTTTGAAATCTCCAAGATCAGTGCTTTATAGCATGTGCCACATCATCCTGAGAGGTTCTGTCGGTCTGGAAGCATGGAAACCTTCCAGAAGATCTGCTCGCTCGTGCTCTCTGAAATATGAAGCAATTTAGGAAGAACTCCTGTTCTTACTAAATCGCTGGCGTAAGCCATGCATTCGGCAGTGGTGAGTAGTCTTAGGGGTAAGTCTGTCCTCCTTTGCCGTCTTTTCATGCCAGTAGTAGTGTTAGTACCTCAAAATTTTGGCAGTAGTAGAGCTGACGATCTTCCAACTTCTATTGGTCAAAAACCACTCCTTCGTTGTTTGGTGCACAAGGCACGATTGACCCTGGTAAAAGCCAAAGAGTATCAAACATATACTAGTCCATCGGCTAAAGGTTCCTCACGGACTTTTGGGGCCGATTTTGTAGGAGATCAATTTCTTGATATAAACATGGGACTTATTCGATCCTCCTCCAGGCCTTCCATTTTTTCTTCATCTTCCTCATAAGAAACATCCTAAAAGGAACCCTAGTTGAAAATGTATCATGTGTGCAAATTGAACAAGAGGAGAAGTAAAGAAGAAAACACTGTGCCGGTTGAGAGGACAGTTAATGGGATCGTCTTTTCCCCACGCCGCTGGAGGATATTAGGATGCGCTTCATGGTAGATTAGATTGAAAATTTTTATAGGTTTATTCGTGGGTGGGGTACGCGCGTCAAGTGTAAGTACATTTCGAGGAACATAAGATTTAAAGTGCAGTTTTAGTTTTATTGCGCTACCACAGACAAAGGTCGGAGTGACCAACTAAACGACCCCAGAGGGATGGAAGGCTTGGTTGGCCCGGGCGACTCACGACCCAGGATTTGATCTCGGACCGCTCGCGTAGTAAGCGCGCCACTTGCCACTACACCACTTCCGCCTAAGAAGAAGAAATAAAATTAGTAACAAAAAATCAAGTGAATGTATTGTTGATGTGTGCTACTGTGCAGGCATGGAAGAAGATTGCGTCTAACATTTTTATGAGGTGCGCCAACGATCTGCATTGCAACTGGGAACAAGCAGGGTGAAAATTGTGTCGTGTACGTGGTCGCAGAAGTACGACCCCCCCCCCCGAAATCGAGATCCTGGCACGACGACCCCAAAACAGAGCAAATTAATTCAATTAATTAATCAAAAAAATCCTGCAAAATAAATCAAAAAAAAAAACTGCAAAATAATGTTTACTATGAACCCCTCAGTACTTAGTCAATATTTTTATGCACTGTCTTTCATCGCTGCACACTTTTGTGTATTTACTGAAATATCGACTCGAGGAAAGAGGCATTAACTTTGTGTGACCTCAAAGTCAGGTTCGTTCAGAAATGCACAGAAATCCTGAAGGCACGGGGTTGCGATTTAATCTTCTTAATTCCTGCTTGAGTATATATGGAACGCCGGAAACCGAGTGATGTAATACAACAACGGCCCGATGTCAGGCAGCGGCGGGCGAATTTCAAAATGAGGTCCAAGATTTTTAGCTAAGATCCCGAAAAAAAAACATGTAGTACGCAAAATGTCGTGACACACCCTTCGATGAAAAGGGGAATAGCATGCTCTTCCACTTTTAACCTTTGAATGTTGGTTTGAATAGTGTTAGAATAGAGCTGTGGAGGTTTCGGCCAAAATTAGACTAACAAAAAGAGATAAGAGTTTCACCAAGACCACCTAATTGAATCGACGCGAACCTGCTACGGTAACGAGTCATCTACCCTCTGGTTCCCAGAACCAGATACGCGTCGAGTGCAGACCACACACCACAAGTGACGAAGGGACGTTGAACGTCAAGCTGAGTATTCTAGGGTGCTCTAGTTGATGACTGATAGTCAGGTGAATGACAGTGTAATTTGAGAACTAGAAGAATCAAACTGCAAACAGCAATGAATTCCACTGGAGAAAAACATTTTTCAATATTTTTATTGAGTTCCGTCGGTCAGCTTCTCTGGTGTAGGGGTGTTGCATCGACGTGCATCTAGTTGGGGTCAGAGAAAGGCTAACTAAAAAGCGGGCTCGTGCGCCACATGGATCTCCGGCGACCTTATAACTACACCGTCGCTTTAAGTGTCGCCTCAGTTGTCGCGCATGTTCTGTCCTCACATATTAAAATTTTCAAGCGTTAGTTCAACCATTATACGGTCACAGGACCCGCACAAAAAACGTTCTTAATTTCTGATCTTGATCATTGAAGTTCGGATGATTCCTGTGACGGACCATTCGGAAACCCGACTGCTTGGAGCGAAACGTGGAACTAATTAGAACAATGAAATTGACCGGTCAAGGCAAAGCAGGCCTAATTAGACCTAAGAGGGAAGCTAGTAAATAGATTATTATCAATTCTATATGAAATAAAAAAACCAATGTAGACATTGCACTTTGCAAACTAACAGATTCCATCACTGTTTTAGTTCTGCTTTTACTAATTGGCTATTACCTATGAAGAAAGAATGTACTCTTAGTGAATTAACCCTTTTAGCTCAGAAGTTTCTTTTGTAGTAAATTTTTTCTTGCTATTGTTTATTACTTGTGAGCACATAAGTATCATTATGGCGAAATTTGGAAGCTATTCGATCACAAACTAAGAAACTAGGAAGCTTTGAAAATTGGCCACCTTCTTAGTTTTTAGCTTATGTCGAAAAAATTCCAAATTTCTAGTTACGCACGTACCTGTCGAATCTCCTCGCTCGGCCACACCACTAGCGGCTCTCCGGTGGACTTCAAGGGTTCGTTCAAATAACGGAACACCTGATAAAATAATGTTCCCTTGAAAATATAAAAATGGCATGCAATATCTACTAAAGATGTATGTATGTACTAAACAATAGACAAAAAGCCTACCTGTTCAGGATCGTCTATACGCACCCACAGGCCAACATCCTTCGCCTCTTCCAACTCTTCCTCTTCTTCTACGCTTTCTTTTTCGTCTCCTCTCCTATCCGAAGTAATTCTTTTAGCGACTCCTTGGGGAACAGAGTCAGTCGATGAGTACTTGCTCATTCCTGGAGGAGTGTCGCCACTTCCAGCAACTCGCCGTGCTAACGTCACACGAGCACTTCCGTCAGGGGTCATGTGCACAATCGAGTTTTCCACCTGAACAAACTAAAGCTAGGATTTTAGTCAAGAACGGAACCTAACAATGGCCAAATCACTAAATCACTTACATGGGCTGAGGCCGTGCTCGTCCGATCGTCCAGTTCGGATGGCGCAGACGCCTTCTGAGGCGGTTGCATCGCTGACAGCTGTTGCAGGGCTATCGGTGGCACAGGAGCTCCGCAGCTGCTTTGAAGCCCAAGGGACGAGCTTCCTGATGGGCCGAAGTGGGCACGTAATGCATTCCATGCTCTTTTGATCGCAGAACCAATGAACTAGAATTTGCCTGATGAATATAAGAGCAGAAAAGGCCTGTAATTTCCACCTATATTTCACTCCAATAATACTTGGTGACCCTTAATTATATATAGTGCTTATGTAAGTGACTTCTGTAAAAAAATAGCAGCCGCGTCAGATAAGATTCGCGATGTTGCCGAGCGCGTTCGCGTTGCAGTGCAGGAATTCAGCTACGCACGGAGCCAGTCTCAGTGATTTGTTGACCGTTCGCTACGTCCTCTAAATATGCATGTTCAAAATTCGGTGGGATTCACAAAAGTGCACAGTGGACGCGACGCGACCGCACGCAGCAATTTTTGCAACTCTCCTGATGTGCTAGGAGCGGAAAGGGATCGAACAGTGGTTTTTAACGAAGATCAAGAACTTTTGACCGTGCGCACACAATGTGTCACTGCAAACGGCGCGCTGCGAGGTGCGCGATTCGTTCATGCTATCGAAAAAAGGACGCATGGACTAGCCGCTTGGAGCAGAGCTTCACATAAATGAAAAAAAGCACCGAAACCACTTTGACGCCCATACAAGAAATAACGTGAGGAGCTAGCTATAACAAGCGAAGCCATACCTCCAGAGTGACCGGAGGCCCAACAATACTTGGCATTTGAGAATGCGTTTCCGCAAATGAGGTCGTTAGCGGTGACACATAAATCGGATAGCCAACTGGTTGATCCGCTGAGCTGTTGATCATATTCCTAGAATATTAGCTCGATAATCAAATAAGAATGTTACTGATCAAATTTCTATCAGAAATTATCTTGGATAGAAACCACTAAAGTCTTACCTGAGCACTTGTCTAGCGTTCTGGATACTTCCACGTTCAGGATTGCGATTCCTCAAGAAGATCAGCTCCTGTTGCTGACCAGCCCAGAACGCTCTCACACATTCACGATTCAGCTTTATCACTCTTAACATACATGAATAAACCATATTTCGTGAAATGGCCGGCCAAATCTGAAGGAACACAGCTAGTTACTACCAAAGGCTGCCTCGAACATACCTCATATTCAGGTGCATTCTATTGAGCATGATGATCTTATAATCGTCCTGTCCTTCATCGTACATATGGCGAAGGGCCAATAAAGAAGGCGTATTGGCTATGATAGCTCGACGCCAAGCTGGATCGTGCTAAAAACGGTCAGTTAGAAACAGCTTCCACACCCGGAACAGGACCATAAAACAAACCTCGTGGGATATGAATAGCTTAGTCTGGTGGTCAGCGATAAGGTCATACAGTGACTCAGGATCATCAAAGTCGTCTGGAGCTGCGAAATGATCCTGAATTGAAATCATTCCATTATTTGCTTGGAGACAAACCCAGGGATTAGCGCGACTTGTGGGAAGGATACGTAGGGGGGATTGTAGGGTCCCTACCTCCCTAAATCACTCCAGCTTCGCCGCAAAAGTTGCGCGGTTAGGGCACCAATCCTTAAGGGCCTGCAACCATCGCCCTCGGCAAGTTTCACCCCCCCCCCCCCCCCCCCGCCCTCGATAATCGGGCGCTCTTTGGACAGCGTAATCCTCCGTGTTTTGCCTTCTTTGACCGCCCTACCTCGCCTTCGTTCCACATCCAACCTTTTTGAAGATTAAGGGCTTAATTTCAGCGATTCCGAAATTTCTCTAGCTTTCCTCTCCACTTTCAAGTCTGCAGCTCAGTCATCACTGCGGAGCGATTTATCACCAGTTTTATCCCGAGGCCTGCCTTCAAACGGTTTATAGGCAGTGGAAATTATCCAAAAGCAAGACTATAAAAGAATAATTATTCAGATGTTCTAAAGGTAATGACTGAAATCAGAATTCCAGACAAAGTCTAAGTATGGCATTGTAGACTTTTTCTCGGAATCAACATCACCCACATTGTTATACATTCTTCTTGGAAATTCCAAAAATTCCAATAATAAACTTTCTCAAATGTTATTAGGAGAAGTGGACGGGTAGGTGCACAGAACGATAAGATCCCTATATTTCTTTGTCGAGCAATGAATTTTCAAATTTTCAAATAAAAAATATCGAGGGTTACGGCGACAAACTCTTCTCCAGGGTGGCCAGCCCGATCCTTTCACAAGAAGACACAATAGCGTTTCTAGGGTACAATAGGTTTCCGAAATTCGCGAGTTTCACTTTACCCTGGCTATGCGTAACCACATCTCTATAATTTCTTATGGTTAGGACGTACAACAGGCACCCGGCCCACGTGGTTTGAACTCGCCTTACAAAAGCTACAGATGTCGTAGCCTGCAGCAAAGGCATAATCAAAAAGAAGTTTCACCTGATGCAATTTGAGTGCCATTTTGACAGCCGGCGAAATCACACATCTCAGCAAATCCATGTCAGCAAATACCCATTCATCGCGTTGACATGTAATCCTACACAAACGTATTCCGATCAAGAATTAGAAAGTGAAAGGTAATTCAAAAAAGATAAAGATTTCGGCTATGATTTTCTTCTTCTCTACTTCCCATCAATAGTGGGAACACAAAAACAATTACACGAACCTAAAATCTCCTTTAAATAATGCATGTAGGCCACAAAGGAAACGATTCGGCAGCATTCGAATGGCGATTATAAGATGCTGCACCGAGAGCTCGACGACCAAGAAGTGACAGAACAAAGCAGAGACAAGTGACGTATTCCGCATTTCTTCAAGCATAAAAATATCGCGACTGGAAAAACAGCAAAGTTGCTAGCAACTCACAATTCCTCATCAGCATTTCGTTCTGATCTCTTGTTCAAGCAATGTGTGATCCACATAGAATACCATTCTGAGAAACTGGACCGTGAAATCCCCTGTAACTTATCGATTTGAATTGTTTTCACTTGACATTTACTAGACCTATTTGCATTTCTCCTACCATTTCGTTCATATCAAAATCTTCATCATTTGTTGAGCAAAACAGGTGATCGACATCTGCATAACGCGGATTAGCCACGATCGGCTCCAAAGTACTGCGCTAAAACACTATCAGTGACTTCGTCCACACACAGTAACACAGTAGCGAGTTTAAATGAAGGGAAATCAAAAAACAAGTAGAGAGACCAGCTCAATCTTTGATGTAGGAGTCAAGAGCCAAAAATACAGAGCACACATGAGCTAAGCGGATCCCCGACAATGTGAGCAGGCCATGTGTTGAGGGTATGGACCCGACAGGGGCAAAAATTTTTCATGTGAAACCGAATCAGTTCAGCGCTGGTGAGAATGGGTGCAAAGGTGAGTTGTGGGTTCACGCTTTAAGCAAGAAGCCCACTCTCGCCGAACAGAGCGCTCTAGTGTTTTCTCCAAAAAACTCACAGATCAGTTCCAAAACAGCTCAAAAACAATGAAAAATTGTGGATCAGCAAGGTCTAAAATGCGCTGTGCCGAATGAAGCGGAGCACGAAACACAATGGGGCGAAGTGAGCTCTTGACTGGGTGAGGCTTACTACCGCAGTTCACAATTCTGCTCCAACTCTCTCTGTCTCCCTGCCTCATAGCCTGTGAATAAGTTGATCATCTAGTTACGGGGGAGGGGTCAAATGTTAATAGTGGGGAGAGGTTCGCAACAGCGTGGTAAGGGATAAAATCAAAAAATATGAATAATTTGCTGTGTATCGCTGAAGCTCTATCAACGCATTAGTGTACCAGAACAAACCAGTGAAAAAATGAGAAATAACCGAGAAAACTGCCTATCAGGTGTTGAGCTGCCTCTCATAGAGAGTTTGGGATATCCCGAATACATATAAACCCGAGAAAAGCAGACAACCACTAACCACAGTCTCATTGGCCAGCCAATTCTGCAACTTGTTCGATGTCAGAGCGTAGTAGACTATGCATTTCACATAAAGAGTGACGAGAAGACGTCTCAATTCATGAACTTGCAGTAGATTAACAGCTGAGTTGTCAGTAATTGAATAACCATCAATTATGTACTTCCCCGTAACAACCTGAAACACTCGGATAAACTTGTAAGACTAGAAAAGCCAACAATTAGAAAAACATGCAAGAAAAAATAAATTAGAAAATATACTACCTCCCAGGCTAGCCAGCGCAGACTCCACGCAGTGTTAAGGCGACAAGAAACCAGGCAGATACCCTGGAGCACAGCAGCAACAACCCGTTCCTTTTGTCTGGTCGTCAGATATTGCTTCCACCTTGAAAAAAAAGCTATAGTAACGAGACCAATTGTGCAGACCAAGATTCCAGCCGGCTATTCAGACGGTGTCATGGACGCCAAATAATTCTGTCAAACACTAGTGTACTGCAAATGCCCCACTAGCGGGTTAGAAAAAATATAATAAAGTATCGCACCTCTCTTTGATGGCAATATGTACCACGAAATTCGAGACCACGCAATTGGAACGTAACAAAACCGTTCCCCACTTCGATGATGTGAACAAGGCAGTTCAAATAGAAACTGCAAAAGCTCAGCTCATGATTGATAACTATAGAAAACTTGGAGCATGAAAGGAAAATTGTTGTCCTTGGCACTTGGCAGGGCAGGGGTTGGATGCTTCAAAAGTCAAGCATTCACTCCAATTTATTGCTTTATAACTACTTCGCTGACATAATACCTTCATAATTTTACCCTCCGCACTTAAGCGACTAAGAAATTACAAAAAACTGCACATTCCGAGAGATATTAGGTGTAAACCGACATGTGATGTCTTGTCTCGCGCGGTCAGAAAAAATGTAACCCGGAAAGGACCACGTTGTCGTTGAACTTCTGCAAAATGAGGTGGGTATTCGGAAAACCGCCCACCTCAACCCACAGCCTTATTAGGAATTGGGGTTCGCACTGTACTGAACCATGCGAATGACACAATTGAAACATTCAATAGAACCTAGCGAACCTGGCAAGAATGAAGCAGTCACCCGGCTGGACACTTGTCGCCCATCGACCCATCTGTAGATCGCCAGCTAAGCTTTTTTGTAGGCTCCTGAAAGATAGCTTGCGCATCGCATACTAGTACGGTCGCTTTTGAGAAAACCTCGAAGTTTTACCTCGTCAAGTGTTCATAGAAGACAGCGTTAAGGTTGCTGTCATCCATCATTGGCCCGCGATCAATTTGCGAAGCTATAAAATAGGTACAAATGTAAAGAAAGAAAATTCCAGGCAAGACAGAATGAATATAGCACAGGTTTATAAAAACTTACTATAAAAAGATTAAAAGGACTGCTATAAACATTACGAAAAATAATAATTGATAACAAACATAAACAACAAACAGAACGTTCAATCATCATACCGAGAGTGGTGTTCGACGCATCGCTTCGCTTTGTATTATAATCCCGCTCCCAGAATTTCACAGGTCGAACATAAGAGGTTGTAAAAAATGAGGAACCTTAAAGTACAAAATTTGCATTCACTGAGGTAAAATACGACTGAAACAAGTCGACTTACCTAGAAAAGGATTGAGCGGGGCACTTATAAGGCTGGACACAACTGTCTGGGTCCATATTAACGCGGAGTGGGGTATAGAAAATGGCTGAAATCAATGGTAAATTTATCCGATTTTTTTGTCACAGTGCTACAGTAATACATACCTGAGCAAAAGCATGGAACGCCGATCCCCAACTTATCTGCCAAGGAGCAACATATGCCATTACAAAACTCATTTTGAGGTACAGCTCAAGCCACTTCGGGTAGAACACAATGAGAACATAAAGAATCAAAGGGAACAATGTTGCTGGAGACATCTGTAAAGGGTTTTGTGAAAGTCGACTTATGTGGACAGAAGCAACTTCTCTGCATCATCCTAAGGTTTCTTGACGCTTCCTAAACATACCTGATCAGGCAGCCCGAATGGTGACCCTGTTTTCCAATCGAATCGAGTAACAGTGAAGGCCAAAGCCAATGGTACATAAATTAATTGTGGATGCGAGAATCCGCCACGCAAGAATCGTAGAGTGATTAGAGGACCTATTATTGTGGCCATCGGTAGTAACCAGCCGCATTCCGTCAAAACCGCCATCGCTACCAGCGGATACAACTGAATAAAGCACATGAGCGAGAAATCTTCAAATATGGAGCCGTGCATTTGGAATGATACAAGAAACGCCTGCGAGCCATGATCTAAACTTCGGCTCTGAGAAGAACGGTCGGAAAAACCCCTTTTCACGGATGTTTCACTTCTCTCCTGACCTCATAGGTGGCACAATGCTGCCCATCACTTCATTTGAAAGGCCCCGCAAAAATCGGAGTGGTAAACTATATAATGGCATATCCACCATCTTAACCGTTTTCTCATGCGGCAGCAGGGCATGAGCGCTACCATCACGAGGGATCTAATCACTTCATAATATAAACCACAATTTGGTGTGTCGGTTTGTTTGTGCGTATGTAGTTCTGTCCGTCCGTAAAATGAAATGAGTGATAAGGACAGCTAATGGAATGAACAGGCCGCTAACAAATCTGGATAGCTCGCAAAGCTTGCCACATGAAGGTGTAGGACAATGAAATGAGGAGAGAGCGAATACAGTCAAGCTAATGTTGCACCTCACCTCGAAAGCGGTAGTGACTCATTTTTAACTACTTGCTCAAAAAAAAAAAAGAAAACCCACAAGATTCTTCTCTATAGCCAGCATCCACACATGAATGATCTCGAAATTCATAGTTTCGCCTCATCGGGACTCTCGAACTGAGTGTATTCATGGGAGTGAAGAATGGGTTTCGCAATCTGAAATAAAGTGCAAATATTTATCGGATAGTAGGCAAAACGTCAGCCCTTCCTAGTGTAAGCCATGCTCGCAGAACGAGCAGACGAAAAGGTCACGGATCAGCAAATTAACTCACCAGTTTCCACGGTGTATGCGTTCTAAGTTGTTCATAGAGATAGTGATTCATAATACCGAAGGCTATGCAGATAGGGATAATGATTGCCTGAAAGTGGATGGAATCTCTAGACCACGACCAACCAACAGGATTCAAAACTATGAAGCCACACAGTGCTTCGCTCTTTTCAAAAACGCATTAAATTCAAAGGGAATCAACCATACGTAAAACCAACCGTAAAATACGGTTGCGTAGCAGTGAACAACGACGTTGAATGTAAGGCAAACACAAGAAGGGACAGAAATGCTGAGAATAGGACATCATGGCGCGCTCGCAGGACAACAGCTTCACGAAGACGTCCCTGGCAGCGGGTCAGAAACGTCAAGCTCATCTGAAGAAGATTTTTTCATACCTGACATCGTGAAAAAAGCCATCATTATCACCTGAATCCTTGATTCTCTCATCTTCGTTTTGTTCTCCAGACGCTGCACAGCAGAGGCGACTACTGCTGCCTGTACCGCTTGGTGCTTGTTCGGGAGATACTGTAGCACGACAAAGAATCACAAATAGCTGCGGATTCGACGAGAACCTAAGTATTCAGAGATTGGAAGGGAAACGACATAATCACAGCACCACGCCAATGGTAACCAAATTTAAGAAGGACCTACCGACTGAGCAAATAAGAGGTTGCGACAGCAGCAGCAAGAAACGCGGAAAATGCCGGTGTCTGTGTCGTACTTGGATCGACCGAGTATGCCAAATGGCATCTGTAGTGAACGATTTGATTGATATCTATTAAACTTGTAAAAAGAATGGGAAACTCACAATCCTCCCAGCAATGCCCAACCAAACAGGCTTTTCAGAATTTGAATAAGAGCTGACAATACCCCCAACGATGCTGTACCACCAAAAATGTGCATCTCCACTTGTTCAAGAATATGGTGAGCCAATGTGTTGACCTGAATATGCAGCATCAATGAAGCGTATTGACT